GCTCGCGCCGACGTTCGTAGTACTGTACCTCCTAGACATTACAGGAAGTTGTAAGATGTGCAGACGAGGAGTGCCCGCCTCTTCTTCTGGACCAGGTACTGTACATCACAGGAAATTGTGCAAACAAAGTAGAACTCCATGCAAATGTAATTTTTGTTTAGTTTTGACTAGTTTGGAGGAGGATTAGAGCCCCTGTGAGGACAGCAAAACAAATGTTACGGGGGGTTATCTCTTCCCTATCCAAAACTAAAAAATTTACCTGTTCCATCTTACACACAAATTCAACAAACCTACAGTCCCTATCTTGTTCGTAACCCCCGGGGACAGCCTGTAACTGGGATCTTGCAGAGTGGAACGATGGCCTGGCGCCTATTGATATACCCAGAGTTCCTGAGCTCGAGATTTGGGGGATAATTTAGGCAAAGAAAGTGAAATTGGGATAATTGCCGGCAGGCCCAATTATATTTTTTGTTTTTATTATGGAGAAGGAATCTCGGTTGGACGTTGTGGACTTTCAGGCACGTGTGATGGAACATTCAGGATCTGAATAGAGCTTCCGTCGGCTTCTGTTACAAAGGTGAGATCAGAAAACATTTCAGCCTCGGAGTCATGAATCTGGATCTGGGACCCTTGAACAATTTCAATGTGAAAACTGGTCACAGCCCTTCTTGGTAACAAGGACCTGGGTAGGACCTCGAGTGATGAGTCACGCTTGGGTGAAGAATGTCTGGTGTTCCCTCCTGGTGAAGGCAGCTGTCCCCTCTAGTTGTCCAATGTGTCACGTCAAGTAGTGATCACGTTACAGTCATAATTCCACTGCTTTGTAATGCTGTTACTATATATATATATATAGACAGGCAGCTGATGAGCGTGGTCAGCTGTAATAGCAGGACTTTGCGTTGGAGTGTCAGAGGTAAGAAAGTGCCATCTGAGATTCATTCACAGCCGTGGAAAGACCTGTCCGCCCAGGCTCTGTGGGCATAGAGAAGAAACTGATCCTCCTTTGAAAATGGCACTTCCCAACCAACAAGCCGAAGAGCTGCGGCTCTACCAGCAAACTCTTCTTCAAGACGGGCTCAAGGATATGCTGGACCACAATAAATTTATAGATTGCGTTTTGCGGATCCAGGGAAAAGAGTTCCCCTGCCACCGCCTGGTCCTGGCAGCCTGCAGCCCCTACTTTCGTGCCATGTTCCTCTCGGACTTAGAAGAGAGCAAGAAGAAGGAGATCGACCTTGAAGACGTGGATCCCGACGTGATGGGGAAGATCCTTCACTACATCTACACCTCGGAGATCGAGATCACCGAGAAAAATGTCCAGGATATATTCTCAGTGGCCAACATGCTCCAGATCCCTTCCATATTCACTGTGTGCGTATCATTCCTTCAGAAGAAACTGTGCCTTAGTAACTGCTTGGCTATCTTCCGGCTGGGCCTCATGTTGGATTGCCCTCGCCTGGCGGTCTCGGCGCGCGATTTCCTCTGCGATCGTTTTAACCTCATCACCAGGGACGAGGAGTTCAGCCAGCTCTCCCCCGATGAGCTCATTGCTGTTATCTCCAGCGACTCCCTCAACGTGGAGAAGGAAGAGGATGTATTTCAGGTGGTCATGAAGTGGGCGGCCAAGGATAAAGAGAACCGGGTCAAGGACTTGCCGGTCGTCTTTGAAAGCGTTCGGTTTCGCCTGATACCCGAAGACTACATCAAGAACAATGTGGAGAAACACGAGCTGGTCAAGTCAAACTCCGAACTCTTGAAAAAGCTCCAGATGGTCACCGACGCCCAAGGCGGCAAACTACCGGTGCTCAGAAAGAAAGCGGCGCCGCAGAGCAAAGACGGGGAGAAAGTTGTCAATGGTGACGTGAAGGAGGAAGAGGAGGAGGACGAAGAAGTCTTACCGGGAATTCTAAATGACACTCTGAGATTCGGCATGTTCCTGAAGGACCTTATCTTCATGATCAGCGACACCGGAGCCGTGGCCTATGACCCAATTGCCAACGAATGTTTTTTTGCCTCGTTGTCCGCTCAGATCCCTAAGAATCACGTCAGTTTGGTCACAAAAGAGAACCAGATTTTCGTGGCTGGTGGACTTTACTACAACGAGGAGAGCAAGGAAGAGCCACTGAGCTCCTACTTCCTGCAGGTAAGATTTGCAATGAAGGGCGACGTCCTTCCAAGTAAGTTCCTTCTAGTGAGAAGGTTCCTTCACGAGCACACTGAGGCTCCTTCTAGAACAACGTAATATTATAGGTGATCCCCATAACAACTATGGAGACCTTAACCCCTTCATGACTGAGGCCTTTTTTCCATTTTTTGCACCCATGTTATATTCCACATTTTAGGCCTGAAAATTATTTAAAACCCCCAAACATTATATATTTTCTGAATGCCAAGACCCTATAGAATAAAATGGTGATAGTTGCAAATTATTATGTTGCGCAATATTAGCGCAACTCCTTATTAAACCCCCAAATTTAGTGACAAATGTAATTAAATGCCCCAGAACACAATAAAATACCCATTTTTTTAATGAATATAAAAGATGAGGTTACAACGAGTAAAACGATACCCAACATGCCCAGTTTACAAATTGCGTGCGTCCGTGAAACGGCGAATAACTGCAGTACCCCAAAAAGTCCATAGAAGACGCTTTAAAAGCCCCCACAGGTCATCAATTTAGAGATACCCCAAAATACTGGCCCTAGAATTATTGCTCTCACTCCGGCGTGCACGGCGATACCCAACATGTGTAGCGCGTTCGTCGTTTTCATATGTAGGCGCACCCGACGCGTGTTTACGTGGCGACGCGCGTGCTCACGGGGAGGGGGACTTTAAGAAATTTTTTTACATTATTTTTTGATTTATTTTATTCAATTTTAATTTAAAAAACTGTTTGTTTTTTTTAACTTTACTTTTGACTGCTATCACATGGGGGGGGGGGGGGGTTAAAAGCCCCCCCC